CCACATAGGCAGAAGTATCATCTGTTTGAGAGTAAAGCTAGTAAAGTCAGAGAAAGAGGCTAATATAATCCAAGACACTCTTACTCCCTGGAGATCCAACAATATTAATACCACATTCTGATTAACAGTCCACAAATTTTGACCTTTTCACATGCACAAAAATAGCGTAAAATCTCAAGAGTTAGTATTGACAACTAGATTACAAATAAGACACACAGGTCCAATAAATATCTGTTGAGGGCTGACTCTGTGTAAGGAAGGCATTGTGGTGGGCACTGCCCACACCCAGAAATGTTTTCTCTTTCACTTGACCTAATCCAAAGGCTGTTGGTTCTAAACTCCCTTCCACCAATGATCCCAACAGTCTTATTATGAATGCCTGTCTAAGGAAATCGGAAATAAGAAGAAAATGAGATAATTAGAACAATAAAGCATACGAGGCAAACAACTATTATTGGAAAGAAAAACAAGAAAAGAGGAGAAAATGAAGGAGGGTTGACCTCGAGCTATCATCAATTGCATTTGGATCTCCTCATAGGTATCCTACCTAACCCAAAATAAGACCAAGTAATAAGCAAAAATGAAGCTCACCACTATACTAATATATCAATAGTCTCTCTAAAGACTGCAGAATCAAGAATGTGACAACAGAATAGCTCAAACTAGTTGACAGGTTGTTGAATTTGTGAGAAAGCATGGTGTAGGAGTATGGTTACCAACAACTAGTCTGTGACTGTGATCAGCAGTCATGACAAACAGAAAAAATGGGATGACTAAAAAAAAAAGCTGTATTTATTCATTTTAAATAATAATCCTTTATTCTGATATTATGCTTTACTGTTTCCTCCCATTAAAATGCCCTTTCTTTAAAAAATAATAAAACATTTTTCTTTTGTGAAAAAGTAGGAGCAGGTCTATTTTTAATGTGATTACTGAGCAAAGTAAAATGTTGACAGCCTTCTATCATCTTCAAATTTTCTTCTGTTTTTTTTTTGTTTGTTTTATTGAACTGATCCATGCAATCCTGGGGACCCCCTGGTTAATTTAGAGGCTAGAAATAATCTCACATCAGAAAACCCTGAATTTGAATCTGTGATCACCTGCTATGTGTCCTTCAGCAAACTTTTCAACTTAGTCCACATTCTTCATCTGAAATGAGGTTGTCTTGAAGTTTCATTGGGCTCCTACAAAGAAAACCTAGTTTCCTTGTTTCATCCTTGTGGTATGAGGTCGAGTGTGGGGGGAGGTGTGGCAGGGTAAGAAGATGGACATTGGAAGTTGACAGAGCTGGGTTCAGTTTTCAGTTCAGAAACATTACTGGCCATGTGATTCTGACAAATTCCTTGTTTTCTTTATACCTCAGTTTCCTTATGTGTAATAGAAGAGGAAGGATAGTATAGTATTGACCTCATTAGGTTATCATGAAAATAAAATGGGATGATATGTGTAAAGACTTAGCACAGGGCTGGCACATAATAGGTGTTGAGCTTGAAAAAGCTCAATATGAGCTTGAAAAGAAGGCTGTTTACAACTCTAAGATACAAAAAGTAATAAGAGAAAATAAAATAAGTGGTAGTTATCATTATTATGGAACCAGTATAACCCACAGTTTGCCAGATCCTGCAGAAAAAGATCATATTCTTTTGTTTCTGATCCCACCTTACACACTATAGGTCACACACACAAGAGATTCTAAAGCACAAGGGTCAATGCATTGTGACTTTAAGAATTTTTAAATAGACAATAGTGGCCAGGCGAGGTGGCTTATGCCTGTAATCCTACCACTCTGTGAGGCCGAGGTGGATTGCTCAAGGTCAGGAGTTTGAAACCAGTCTGAGCAAGAGCGAGACCCCATCTCTACTATAAATAGAAATAAATTAATTGGCCAACTAATATATATAGAAAAAATTAGCCAGGCATGGTGGCGTATGCCTGTAGTCCCAGCTACTTGGGAGGCTGAGGCAGAAGGATTGCTTTAGCCCAGGAGTTTGAGGTTGCTGTGAGCTAGGCTGACGCCACGGCACTCACTCTAGCCTGGGCAACAAAGTGAGACCCTGTCTCAAAAAAATAAATAATTAGACAATAGTGATAACATTAACTAAACAAAAAATAACAATTTGATAAATCTGAACTAAATACAAACTAGCTCAGAGAATACTTCACTTGAATTTTTGGCACCTAAGCTTACTGCTTTCCCTTTTTCCAAGAAAGAAAGAAAAGAAAAGAAAGAAAGAAAGAAAGAAAGAAAGAAAGAAAGAAAGAAAGAAAGAAAGAAAGAAAGAAAGAAAGAAAGAAAGAAAATTGGCTTACAGTAACTCACTCTTTGGCTATGAAAAAAAAAAAACTGTAGGCTATTTTGTCCAAAGACTGCTGCTTTTTGTATAAACATTTTTAGAAAACAAAAGACATTCCAATTCCCATCTGCAGAAAGTCAACAATATTTTTATAAGGATGCTTTTTTATTATAAAAAAGAATCCATTTCAATCTCTAGAAATTCAACAATATCAGTAAAAGCATGCTTTGTCTCTTGTATCAAGATTACACTTCTAAAAATTTATTAGGAACATGTATTCTAGGTATTGTAATCAGCCACAAAAATTAAAATTCATATCTGTAGGCAAGTAATCTGGCTATGCCAGAGGGTGTCATGGGATCTGCTTTTGAAAGTAGTTTATAACCTGATCTCTATCTCTTCTATATTCTTTTATATTTTTAAATTGAAATGCTTTAGAAATCCCGACTTGTAATTAAGATAATGTTTACCATTCACACCTTATCTCCTAAAAAAAGAAGTCTGTCAAGAAAATAGAAAAGGTATGAACAACATGGACTGGGAAGATGTGGCCTCTTTAATTGGTAAC